TTGGATCTTCCTTTTTAATCCAGTTCAAACGTGCTTTTGATGGGGGAATTAAGTCCATTAAGTGTTAGTACTGATAGGTATGTGGTGATTCCTGTCATTTAGTTGTCTTAGTTGTTTGAAGGTTTGATTGTGTGTACCTAATCGAGTTACTCTCTACTTTCTTGCTTTTTCTTTTCCTGTAGTTTGGTACTGCCTGCCCTTTCATGGTTATGTTGGGTTTCACTTTTCTGTGTGCAGAATCCCTTGAAGAATCTTTTGTAGTGGTGGCTTTGTGGTCACATATTGTTTTAGTTTCTGCTTATCATGGAAGACTTTTATTGCTCCATCTATTTTGAATGATAGTTTTGCTGGTAGAGTATCCTAGGGTTGAAGTTATTTTCATTCAGTGCCCAGAAGATCTCACCCACCTCTTCTTGTTTAATGTTTCTGTTGAGAAGTCTGCTGTGATTTTGATGGGTTTACCTTTGTATGTTATTTGTTTTTTCTCTTACAGCCTTCATATTCTTTTCAGTCTCTGTATTTGTTTTAATGATAATATGCATGTTAGTTCTATTTTGGTCTGGTCTGTTTGGTGTTCTGGAGGCCTCTTGCATCTGTATGGGCATAGATTTTCTTAGATTTGGGAAATTTTCTGTAATTATTTTGTTGAATATTTACATTCCCTTTGCTTGCACCTCTCTCTTCTTCAATGCCCATGATTCTCAGGTTTGGTCTTTTGATGGAGTCAGTGAGTTCTTGCATTTTCTTTTCACAGGTCTTGAGTTGTTTAACTAATATTTTTGGTTTTTCCTTTAATCACCATTTCATCTTCGAGTTCTGAAATTCTGTCTTCTGCTTGTTCTATTCTGCTGGATTGGCCTTCCATTTTGTTTTGCATTCTGTTTCTTTCTTTTTTCTGAGGTTTTCCATATCCTGAGTCCTTCCTCTTTATATGTGTCTTTTTGTCCTGAGTTCATTTATCTCTTTATTAATTGTGTTCTTTGTTTCACTTTGGTGTTTATACAGTGCTTCTATGGTTTCTTTTATTTCTTCTTGTGCTTTCTTCAAATTCTCTATTTTTGTTGTCTTGGAATTTCTTGAGTGTCTCCTGTACATTTTGGTTGACCATATCCAGTATCATCTCTATAAAATTCTCATTGATTACTTGAGGATTTCTTCTTTCAGATTTATTCTTGTGGGCTTCATTGGGTTTCTTGGCATAGTTTCTTTGTTTGTTGGAGTCTGGATCTGAGTATCTGTTTTCTTCATTTCCCTCTGGTTCCTGTACTAATTTTTGCTGTGGGGAAACTGGTTTCCCTTTTTTCTGTCTTCCTCATTCTTCCTTGGTATTTTACTGTCCCTGTACTGTGTGCAATTAAGTATTTTCTAGCTTGTAATAATAACAATGATGATTTAGAATGGAAGTGAGAGAGGGAAAGCAAGAAGTAAAGAAAAAGGGACAAAACAAGTAAAAAAACAAACAAAAAAAAAAACGTGTCAAAGAAATTAACAGGGAGAGATAGTGTACTAATCAACAGTAAGCTAAACAGGCATTGAGAAAGAGAGAGGATAAAAAAAAAATAAATTAACAAATTCAAATACAGTAAGTTTCAGTCTTAATAATTTTGTGTTAGTCCTCAGCCTCCAATCCTGGAGATGGTGTCTCAGAAGTAGTCTGTCATTGTCTATCAAAGGGGAAAAACAAAAAAAAACAAAACACAACAAAGTCCCAAGTTCAAATGCAATACAGTTTCAGTAAGTCTTTCAGCATGCAGTGTTCAGTTGTTGTCACATCAAAGGAAGAGGAAAAAAAAAATAAAAAGGTCTGGAGACATTCTGTGAATGTCTCTTCTGAGGCTGTGGCTCACCTGCCTGCTGCTGTCAGCCGCTGTTGCTGGAGCTTTATTGATTTGCAGATGTTCAGGATGAGCTTAATAGTCACCTAGCTCCTCCGGCTTTGTTTGTTTTAGAGTTTCTCCTGGGCCTGACCACCACTTTTTACAAGCTTTCCCCTTTTCCAGCACACTGGCAGGAGGTGGCGCTACCCACCAGCCTTCTCCGGCCTATTGTTTATTTACAGTTCACGTGGAAGTGTCCCTTCCCCCCTCTCCAGTGTATTTCCTCGCACCACCACTTTTACAAGCTCTCCCTCCATGGTTGGTGGGAGGATGCCACTGCCTCCTGCCTTCTCCGGCCAACTTGTCTATTTACAGTTCCATGCGGGATGCCCCTCCCCCCTTCAGTACTCAGGGAGCACTGCCGTCTTTGCTTGTGTCTTTGTTGTTTTTGTTTATTCAGTTTGTTTCTGTGTTTTCTTTCTCTTTTTTCCCTGGGTGGGGGTCAGTCTCTCCAGGGGCTATGCTGATCTGTCCAGGGTTGTCTTGTGGGAGACTGGCATGCCACTTAGCTGACCTGGTGGTCTGCATCTCTATTGGGTTTCACTTTGTGTGTGCAAAATCCATGGAAGAATCTTTTGTAGTGGTGGCTTTGTGGTCACATATTGTTTTAGTTTCTGCTTATCATGGAAGACTTTTATTGCTCCATCTATTTTGATGATAGTTTTGCTGGGTAGAGTATCCTAGGTTGAAGTTATTTTCAATCAGTGCCCAGAAGATCTCACCCCAACCTCTTCTTGATTTTAATGTTTCTGTTGAGAAGTCTGCTGTGATTTTGTTGGGTTTACCTTTGTATGTTATTTGTTTTTTCTTTCTTACAGCCTTCAGTATTCTTTGTCAAGTCTCTGTATTTGTTGTTTTAATGATAATAGGCCATGAGTTAGTTCTATTTTGGTCTTGTCTGTTTGGTGTTTTGCAGGTCCCTTGTATCTGTATGGGCATAGATTTTTCTAGATTTGGGAAATTTTCTGTAATTATTTTGTGAATATGTTACACATTCCCTTTGCTTGCACCTCTTCTCCTTCTTCAATGCCCATGATTCTCAGGTTTGTACTTTTGATGGAGTCAGTGAGTTCTTGCATTTTCTTTTCACAGGTCTTGAGTTGTTTAACTAATAGTTCTTTGGTTTTTCCTTTAATTACCATTTCATCTTCGAGTTCTGAGATTCTGTCTTCTGCTTGTTCTATTCTGCTTGATTGACCTTCAATTTTGTTTTGCATTTCTTTTCATTCTTTTTTCTGAGGTTTTCCATATCCTGAGTCGCTTCCTCTTTAATGTTGTCTGTTTTCGTCCTGAGTTCATTTATCTCTTTATTAATCGTGTTCTTTGTTTCACTTTGGTGTTATACAGTGCTTCTATGGTTTCTTTTATTTCTTCTTGTGCTTTCTCAAATTCTCTATTTTTGTTGTCTTGGAATTTCTTGAGTGTCTCCTGTACATTTTGGTTGACCATATCCAGTGTCATCTCTATTTAATTCTTATTGATTACTTGGAGGATTTCATATTTCAGATTATTCTTGTGGACCTCATTGGGTTCTTCGGCATAGTTTATCTTTGTTTTGTTGAAGTCTGAATCTGAGTATCTGTTTTCTTCATTTCCCTCTGGTTCCTGTACCGATTTTTTGCTGTGGAGAAAGTGGTTTTCCTGTTTTTTCTGTCTTCTCATCATTTTCCGTGGTATTTTTACTTTCCATGTACTGTGTGCAATTAAGTATTTTCTAGCTTGTAATAATAACAATGATGATATTTAGAATGGAATTGTGAGAGTAGAGGGAAAGCAAGGAAGTTAAAGAAAAAGGGACAAAACAAGTGAAAAAACAAACAAAAAAAAAACCAGTGTCAAAGAAATTAATAGGGAGAGATAGTGTATTAATCAACAGTAAGCTAAACAGGCATGAGAAAGAGAGAGGATAAAAAAAAAATAAAGATCTCCAAATTCAAATACAGTAACGTTTCAGTCTTAATAATTTTGATGTTAGTCCCTCAGCCTCCAATCCTGGAGATGGTGTCTCAGAATTAGTTGTGGCATTATCTTATCAAAGGGGAAAAACAAAAAAAAACGAAACACAACAAAGTATCCCAAGTTCAAATGCAATACAGTTTCAGTAAGTCTTTCAGCATGCAGGTGTAGTTCTGTTGTTGTCACATCAAAGGAAGAGGAAAAAAAAATAAAAAGGGTCTGGAGACAGTTCTGTGAATGTCTCTCTGAGGCTGTGGCTCACCTGCCTGCTGCTGTCAGCCCGCTGTTGCTGGAGGCTTTATTGATTGCAGATCTCAGGGATGAGCTTTATAGTCACCTAGCTCCTCCGGCTTTGTTTGTTTAGAGTTCTCCTGGGCCTGACCACCACTTTTACAAGCTTTCCCCTTTTCCAGCACACTGCAGGAGGTGGCGCTACACCAGCCTTCTCCGGCCCTATTGTTTATTTACAGTTCACGTGGGAAGTGTCCCTTCCCCCCTCTCCAGTGTAGTTTTCCTCGCACCACCACTTTTACAAGCTCTCCCACTCCATGGTTGGTGGGAGGATGCCACTGCTCCTGCCTTCTCCGGCCAACTTGTCTATTTACAGTTCCATGCGGGATTGCCCCTCCCCCCCTTCAGTACTCAGGGAGCACTGCCGTCTTTGCTTGTGTCTTTTGTTGTTTTTGTTTATTCAGTTTGTTTTCTTTTGTTTTCTTTCTCTTTTTTCCCTGGGTGGGGGTCAGTCTCTCCAGGGGGCTATGCTGATCTGTCCCAGGGTTGTCTGTGGGAGTACTGCATGCCACTTAGCTGACCTGGTGGTCTGCATCTCTCAAGTCGGTAGGAAATGGCATCTGGCAGCGCAGGAGCCCTCCTGGTTTCTCTGTTTACTGTGGAGTGGGGATGCTATGTGTAGGCTGGGGGTGTGGAGGAGTCAGAATTTTGCCTCTTCTCGATGGTTTTTCCTGTAAGATATATCTCCAGCGTCTCTCCAAGATTTTATTTTAAGAAGCACACTTTCTGCTTCCTCCCTAGTTGCCATCTTCGAATCCCCCGGGTCTTAAACAACTTTTTACCTCCACTCTGTTTGTCTATACAACATTAAGATATGTCCTCTGGGGGTCTTACATATTCTAACATACACTCAGTTTGTCTTTCTTATTTCAGAATCGTTATCTTCTGCCCATTTAAAAAGCAACATCAACCTGCACAATAACCCCATTATTCAAAAATATGGCTCTAAGAAAGTACGCTTGACCAGATGTCTTCTGACAAAGGAGGAAATGAAAACATTTCACTTTCCATTGCAAGGTTGGTTTAGATTTAATCTAATGTTGCTGACATTTTACATAAATATTTTTGTTGAATTTTCATTTTTCTGGTTGCTTTCCAAATGGCTTATTCTCACTTATTCCATCTTCTATTAATGAGGAAATATTAATAAGGAAATCCCTGAAATATAATCCAAAATGTTTTACCAAAATGTGGAATGTGTACCATGATTGGTAAAATGATGAGTTTAGGTGGTATAGGAGCAAACATTAAATACCATTGAAATATATAACAAAAATGTTATTCCCTTTCATTCTGTCTTCTTTCATTCCTTCTTAGTGTATTGAAAAGAATCAGTATGTCTTCAACAACATTTTCACTGCCCTCCAGTATTTTCAGTCTTCCTATCCCTTATTTCTTTAACAAATAGAGAAGGTCTGTACTCAGAATGTCGGTCAATTATATAGCAAAAATTTAATAAAAACATCTTTATCTCATTTTCTTACTTCCTAATTATAGAAGTATGATTTAAATTTCCATTTTTTTGGCAGTGCTGGAGTTCAAACCCAGGGCCTTGTTCCTGTTAGTCAGGTTTTGGATCACTGAGCTACAGTGCTAGCTCTAAGTTTCCTTTTTTAAAAAGTAGTCTTATTGAAAGACTTAAATAAATGTATTGAAGTATACAATTAAGTATTTTTTAGTATGTTCAGAACTGTACAACTGTCATCACAGTCAATTTTTGAGCACTTTCATCACCCCAAAGGAAACCTTGTACTATTATTCTGTGTCCTCTAGTCTTAGGCTACCATTAATGTACTTTCTTTATAGATTTTCATATTCTGGATATTTCATATAAATGGAATCATACAATATATGATTTTAAAAACTACATTATTCTCTCAGAATATAAAAATTAATGTATTTAGATGGATTGCCTTCTGTTTAGTCTTCATATTTTCAAGTGTCTAACATAAAGAAGTGCCCAGCAAATAATGGTGTTTCAGATTCCCTGGACGAATCTAAGAGTGATGTTTATCGTCTCTAAAGGCAAATATTCTTTTTCTTTTAGGTTCTCCTGATTGTGAAAACTTTATACTTATCAAATGTAGCAATACTATAATAGACAACAGTCCCCTCTTTGGACTTGACTGTGAAATGGTAAGTTGTACTTTTGATTTTTCAGCTGGAATGTTGCCAACTAGTGGAAGATGATTTCTTGAGTCGAATATACCAATAAGTCAGTGCATTTAGTTCCACTGTTCAATTTAAATAATGGAAAGAGTAGGCACTTTTACTCACATTTTAGAAAACTTAGATTTCTGCTACAGGATGAGGAATAAATAAGTTTTCTAACTAGTTGCTATCTTTAATCAAGTCTTTACACAGTATTAGAAGTTATTCCTGAACAAGTATTTTGCACTTGCTGCTGCCAGAAGTCTCTGCCTTAATTACTTGTCAGTTTGGCTAGGTTTTATACATTAAAGATTAGAAGTGGGATTTTCCTGCTTTAGCAACTGTTGTGCTTCATTTTGCTTAATTTTATTAAATCTCCATTCTAAAACAGTGCATCCTCTCAGCACTCAGCAAGCAGTTCCTCAGTTTTTGTTTTATTTGTTTCATTGTTTCAGTACCAAATTCAGTACTGCCAAAAAAAAAATTATGAAATTTAAGCAGGGTATGGTGACTCATGCCTGTAATCCCATCACTTAGTAAGCTGAGGTAGGAGGATCCTGAGTTCTAGGCCAGACTCTACTACACAGTGAAATCCTCTCTCAAATAGTGCAGTGGGGCTGGGGGCTGGAGGTATAGCTCAGGTGGTATAGCTTCCCCCCACCCCCTTTTTCTTTTCTTTTTTTTTTTTTTTTTTTTTTTTTGTGACACTGGGGTTTAAACTCAGGGCTTCATGCTTGCTAGGCAGGCACTGTATCACTTGAACCACTCACTCTGCCAGCCCTTTTTTGTGATGGTTTTTTTCAACTATTTGCCTGAAGCAGGCTTTGAACCAAAATCCTCCTAATCTCTGCCTCCTGAATAGCTAGGGTTACAATTGTAAGTCACTGCCACCAAGCCATAATTCTTAATAGTGGGTAAGAGCTAAAGTTCTGGAGTGTGACATATCAGGATATGCATCTTGGCTTTGTCTATTAGTGACTATTTCACTGTGTACAAGTCTCCTAATCTTTTTAGCCTTAGGTTTTCCCTTTGTAAGACGGGGACAATAATAAAAGCTGCCTCAGAAGTTTAGAGTCTTAATAAAAATTATTTAGTAGCAGTACTTACTGGAGCTAGTATACACTCCACAAACAATAGATGCAGTTATGATTGGTATTATTATTTCCATTCATCTTCTTTGAGAAAATCCTTTCCTAGACAAATTATACTGTTTCTTCCTTCAAGTATAATATTTAGCAACCTGTCTAGCTTTAATTTCATTCATACTTAATCCTCTAGTAAGCATATATCTTTGCCATTGCTGCAGTAGTCCTGGTAGTTGATGGTAGGTGACAGTTGATAGTAGTGTGGATTATGAGAGGAAGCAGTAACTTTCACAGTTCAGCAGCCTGACTGTATCATGGTCTTTCAGTGGCTCACATCCAAAGGGAGAGAACTAACACGAATCTCACTGGTTGCTGAAGGAGGCTGCTGTATTATGGATGAACTGGTCAAACCCGATTACAGGATTCTAGACTATCTCACCAGGTATTTTGCACCTTGACTTCAGCTCTTCCTAGAAATATCGCTAGAATGGAATAAGACTTGACTGGAATGGCCCACACATTCTGTTTACTTAGGTTTTATATTTTTTCAAAAAAGGCAAGGATGATACCTTGATATATTGTAATACTGAAGTTGCAGAGTGTGTAATGCTTTTGCCCTTCTTGTTCTTTAAACTTTCTGTGATTTAAGTCAGCAGCATATTATTTTCCTTCTCCTAGAATTCCCCAATTATGTTCATTATCTGGCAACTGCCAAACAGCTGGAGCGAGCTCTGCTTTTTGCTAAAACCTCATCTGAAAATACGCAAACTGTCATTTGGCAGTCAGTGATCTTACAGGTTAATTTGCCTTGACACTCCCCCCCGCCCCACAAAACAAAACAATTTTTTTTCTGTAACAGAACTTTGAAACCCAAAATTTTGTCTGTTTTTCCAATGATTAGTATGTAACTTGCTAATCAGAATATACACAGTAATGGGGCCAAGAAAAAGCCAGTGAAACATGACTGTTTTCATCCATTAAAGTTGTACCTGTGCTCTCTTACTTATCCCTAAGTAAGCACAAAGTGACCATGCTAATGATGTAGGCTATCCTATTAGCAGACTTCATAATTAGATAGTATTCTTACAGAGTAGTCATGTGTGACAAAGAGGTATGTACAAGTATGTTTGTCATAGTCTTTAAAAATGCAGGAATATAAATGAAAGTATACAATTAGTTTTAAAAGTTATATTCATATCCAGAGTATGCTATAACTTAAAAGGATCTGCTAAAATTGATTATGTAGGAATTTATGATATATTGCAAATGACAAAAATCATGTTTGCAAGTGACAAAATCATAATCATACATTACAGTTGCTTTTTTATAAAGTGAACTATATCCATGAAAATTACATATCAAAAGTATAGAAAGATATTTACTAAAATGTCGTAATCTCTGGGTGATGGGATTATGGATAATTTTTAATTTCCCCTGCTTGTTTGTATTTTCAATCTTTTTTACACTGAGCATATATTTAATATAATTTTTATTGTTCTTAAAGGGGACTTTCCAGAGAGGAAAACTTGTTAATATTTTGGCCTGACCATTTTTCTCTTTTTATTGAAAGCTTTTCAGGAATCACAAAGATGATTCTTAACCCAGTGACAACCAAACTCAAAGATGTACAGAAGCAGTTAAAAGCACTGCTTCCTCCTGATGCTGTGTTAGTGGGCCATTCCTTAGACTTGGATCTCAGAGCATTGAAAGTGTGTATCTGATTTAGGACTTTGTTTTTCTAGTATAAGTGTATGTTCTAATTATCTCAAATCTAAAGCTTTGGGCTCTTCTACCCCTAGCCCTCTTGGTTTTTCCTTTAGTATAAGATGCTACTCATTCATTCTCTTTCCTCCTCAGATGATACATCCATATGTTATTGATACCTCATTGCTTTATGTCAGCGAGCAGGGCAGAAGATTTAAGCTAAAGTTCTTAGCCAAAGCTATTTTGGGGTAGGTTTATTTACAAATTATAATGTCCTGATAAGTTGCACATAAGTTTAGTATATATTATCTAAAAACTTAATGCATATTGCTGTCCCTCTTAATTTGTAAACATTGTTCCTTTCATTTCTTATGAAATGAAAAAATAATAGGAATAGAGGAAGGAGATTACACTCACAGTTGTATAGAACAGATATGGAAGGGCAAAAAAGTTAGGCAGAATTTTAAAATATACTTACATTAAATATTCCATTGTTTTGACATACCTACATACAAAGATATACACATATGTACATAATACTGTTTAAAATTGAAAAAAGGCCAGAAATATTCTACATAACTGGTTAAATAAATATGGTTATTTGTTTTGTTTTGCTTATTTAGATTATTGAATATTTTGTTGTTCAGGAGAATGTGATGGAGCTGCATGTGCTTAATATAGAAACCGCTCTAAGATACGGAGTTGCAGAGCCAGATCTATAGATACCTAAATATTGATAAGTAATAGATTATCTTTAGGTATATGTATAGACATAAATATATGCATAATTAAGTTTCTACAAGAACAATGAAAAGAATAAATACATATTTAGTCTTCTAGTCAAACTTGTGTTTGAATAGAAAACTTCTGGAAGATAACTTTAAATAGTTGCTGTATCTAAGAAAAGAGACAAGGGTCTGGCAGGAGAGTAGGTCAGTGAATTTTTCGTTGGGTATCCATCTGTGCAGATGGTATATGGTGGCTGTGGGCACAGTAATCCTGATTGTTCTGCATCCCCAGCACCTTTCTCAGAGCCTGGCAGCCAGAAAAAAATGAATCTTGATTGTTGTAATGTAACTCTGATTATAATAATGTTGCAGCTTAACATGTGGCAGTTGAAAGCAGCAATTGTTAAAAATGTTCCAGATATATCAAATTTATCTTGACTTTCTAGGAAGGATATACAGTGTCCAAACAGGCTTGGTCATGATGCCACAGAAGATGCTAGAACAACCCTTGAATTGGCTCAGTATTTCATTAAGTACGGCCCAAAGAAGGTTAGTGTCTTTGACCAGTATGTTTGCCTTTCTTAATATTATGGGATTGGATAGACTATCATCTTCTGTTATCCTTTATAAAAATAAGAGTGTGATTGAAGCCAAGCATGTATTTGGAATGAAGACCCATATCACTAGCATAATGTAGTTGCTAAGTATATAGCCTCTGCAGTAAGAGCTTACCTATTTTTAAATACAGACTCTACAGTGTCTAACTCGATCATCTAGGGAGTTTCTCTGAATGACTTCTAGATCTGTAGAAATGGGAATACAGACTTCTCTGGGATATTGGTGAGAGTAAGGTAACTGTATAAAGCTCTTAGCTCTTATATGCCTCGAATATATTAAGCACAGTGGTGGTGATCATTGCAGATGATTATAATAATTGTAATAATTATTTTAAAAATCTACATAGATTTCTGCTTTCTTTGAGTGAGGCACATACCAGTGTTCTGACAGTAATTAAATGGATATAGATTTGAAGAGCACATATAGCATACATTGAAGAAGAGGACAAGGTTTCTAAGAGACTTTGTCATACTGTATTCTAACCTATTAGATAGTCACTTTACATAATAAGTTCCATTGTGATTCTTAGGAAATAAATGTAATCTTTATAAAATAATAACAGCCAAAATAGTGTTTTATGTCATTATGGTAGAAAGATTTTCTAAGAGATCTTATTTAGGTACATAAATGTGATAGTCAGCATTCACTGAACTCTTTTTAAGTTTGCTGTCCTAAAATGCTTAATGGACATTTTCTTATTTATCCTCACAGCAGCCTTGTCAATCAACTTCTGCATAAGCATTCTGAGGTTTCTTAGCTGGTCTCTCACCAGGAGATAAACTTTTTCTGAAAGGCCAGATAATAAATATTAAAGACTTTGTGGAATATATTGTCTCTATCACACCTTACTCACTGTGTAAGACTGTATGTCAACAGGTGGGCATAGCTGTGATCCAGTGAAACTTAATTTACAAAAAATGTTCATTGGCTGGATTTGACCAGCCTTCTCTAAACCACTATCTTATAGGTTTCAAACACTTTCTGGTCTCAAGACTCCTTAACCCTTAAAGCCACCAAATGGCTCAGAATTTATCAACATTTGTCATGTTCAAAATTGAGTAGGAGGAAAATATTTTTTAATATTTATTTGTTTAAAATATCAAACTGTTACATGTTAACAGTTTACTTTTATGAGGAATAGCATTTTAAAAAAATATTAGTGGGAAGAATATCATTTTACTTAAATTGCAAATTTATTTGTGTAGCTTAATAGAAGACATGTGACTTTTTGTATCTACCTTTACACTCCATCTGTTAAGTTGTGCATTTTGAAAACCTCATGAATTCCTGAAAGGGTCTCTGGAACCCCCAGGGGGTCTCAGACCACATTTAGAGAACCTGTCATGCTTGGCTTCCAGCCAAAAATTATATCTCACTTGATAAAAACGAAGAGAATCTGAATTAATCATGGACTTTAATCAATAATGTATCATTATTGGCTAGTTAATTATGACAAATGCACCATACTAATCTATTGCTAGTAGGGTATATGTGAACTCTAAATTGTGTTCGTGATTTTCTGCAAATCCACAATGATTATGAATAATGGGTTTTTGTTGTTTTTAAGTCATGTGAGAGAGTAGGAGGTAGAGTGGAGAGAGGGGGTAGTGGTTTTTGATCTCAGGGCTCTACCAGCCCTATAATGTTTTTGTTTTTAATGTTACTGCAAAAGCCATTGTTTCCCAAAAGTTGCGTGTTTACAGAGAAGTACATTTTAAATGACTGAGTTTGGAATGAGGATGAGCCAACATTGCCATCTCTTTTTACTCAGTCTTAACTTGTCCCTTGCCCATATTCACATATATTCAGCCGTAGCTGGTAATAGATTGCTATTCTTTGCTAAACCAGAAACCATCTGGTAACTATTGAAGCCAGACTGTGGCAATAGCAAAGCCATGGTCTAAAGAAGCAGAGAACATCACTTGAGTGAGGTTTTGGGTTTGTTTGGTTTTTTTTAATCTCAAATGTTTTACAAGAAACTTGATGATTTTTACTACTTTATTTTCTTCTAGATTGCAGAACTCAATCTGGAGGCACTAGCTAGTCACCAAGAACTACAAGCAGCAGGCCAAGAACCAATAAATACAGCAAAAATTGTTCAGCACTCAAATATAAGGTGATATTTTCCAGTTCTAAACAAGAATATGGTGATTGGTCTAAAAATGAGATTTTTTACAAAAAAAAAAAAAAGACATTGGAACATATTGAAGAAGAAGCATTGGTGCAGATGATAGACTTGATATTTTTAGGTTAGATTTATCTGTCTGTAGCCTTCATGTATTGCCCAGATTAGAAAAAAGGAAAAAAAAAAAAAAAAGCTGAAAAGGGGGAGCTGATTTCAGACAATTGAATTTTCCAGATCCTTAGAATCTGGCCTAAACTTTGATAGACAGCTTTGAGTGTGTTTCTTATTTTATCTTTTTCCTTTCTGTTAGAGCAACACTACCTAACTGAATTTTTGCAATGATGAAATGTTCTATATCTGTACTGTCATGCGGTAACTACTAATCACATGACTAGTGCAGTTGAGCTGAATTTTTAATCTAATTTGAATTACATTTAAGTGGCTACATGTTGCTAGTGGTTCTTACATTGAATAGTGATAAGGAAATAACTATAAGGTTATGGAAAACTGTTTTTCTTACCTTCTTCTTTTACTTTTTTATAGTGTGTTAGAATGCTTGGACTCAGTGGGTCAGAAGTTCCTTTTCTTGGCCCAGGAGACAGATACTACTGAACTTTCTTCTGGAAACTGTCAAACTATTAAGTGCCGTTCAAATAAAGAGGTGAGTGGCTTATTGTACCTTTGTAAGTTGCATTCAGAACAGAGGGGAATGTAACCCTTTGCACACCCCATGCAAGTGTCAAGCCTTTTCTCATGAGCATCCCTGGCTACAATGAACAAATATCTGGCTTCTGTCACACATCTTTCATGGAGTAATGGAAGTCCCAGTTACCTTGTAAGAGCAGCACTATCAGCTTACCACTGTCTGTTTCCAGAGCCCAGCAGGCCTATGGCTTGGCCTTGCATATCACTTTGAATTTCTGTTCTGATTTAGTATATGGCTTATTTTGGTTTTGAGCCTAGCTGTACCTTTTTGCTTTTCTTTTGATACTTTATTTTTGCTATACATGTAAAGAAGAGGCAAAACAACTTACTGTATCATCTTGTCTAGAAACATATTTTTTGAAACATTTTATTTGGAAGTAAAATAGAAAACTGACTTGAGTGGTGGAACTCCTATTTGATCCACCTTTTATTAATATTCTACCCCATTTACTTTATCTTATTTGTGCACTTATGCTCTCTCCTTCTGTCTCCCTATCCCTTTACAAGTTTATACTTTTCCCTCCCCCATTTTTTCTCTCCCTCTCTCTGTATAACATTTTCTGAATCATTTGAGAATAAGCAACACATACAATAGCACTTTACAACCCTAAATACTTCCTTGGGTATTCCATGAGGATAAGATATTTTCTTACATAATAACAGTATAGTTATCAAGTTAAGTAAATTTATTGACCCAGTACCTCTATCTGTTTTTCACTATATCCCAATTTAATTCACCAAATTATATCCTTTATAGCATTTCTTTTCTCATCATAACAGTATCTATTCTATGGTTAGGAAATGTATTTAAGTTTTCTTGAATCTGAAACCTTTTTATATTTGGGGGTAGAGGGGACAGTGGATACTGGGGTTTGAAGTCAAGGCTTCACACTTACTGGACAGGCACTCTACCACTTGAGCCATTCATTCCATCAGCCCTTTTTGTGTGTGTGATGGGTATTTTAGAGATAGGGTCTTGCGAACTGTTTGCCCGGGCTGGCCTTGAGCTGTGCCTCCTAAGTAGAATTTACAGGCATGAGCCATTGGCACCTGGCTCTGGAATCTTTTTAGACCTTTGTCCTAAATGCCACTGTAATTTTTTGGGTAATGCTTGCATACCCTTCCTTTTTTAACAGAGTGTTCCTCATTTTGGGTTCCTGTGTTGTTTCCTCATGATTAGATTCAGATTATTCATTCTTGTTGGATGCACAAGTCCTGTATCTTTCTCAGGGTGTCTCATCCAGATGCACAAATTGTCTGTTGCCCCTCTTTTGTGCTATTTATTGTTATGGCTTGCTTAGGGTATGGTTGGCTTTCTCCACTGTAGAGTTCTTATTTTTTCCCTATATTTGAATAAGTAATACTTAGTAGGAAGATACTAAGAATATGCAAAAATCCTACAGTGAAGAAAAACCACTTTTGTTCTGCCCTCATACCACAATTATCAACACCAAATCCCCGAGTGTGTGTCGATTTCTTCACACCTGGAGGCAATAAATTCTGCAGCTGACATCAACAAGATGTCCTGTAATTCAGCTCAATTTCCCAGGACTTTCCCACTTCAGATGCCATTTGCAAACCCCAGAAGGTTTTACCTGTGCTTCTGATGACCATCTGTGAATGATAGGAAAGCACTCTGTCACTTTACTCATACTCCTAGTTCTTTTGCTTTTAGTTCGTTCTTTAGGTAGGATCTTGAAATTTTGCATGGGCCATCCTTGGTTTGCAATCCTCCTACCTCTGCATCCTGAGTAGCTGGGATTACAGGTGCATACTACCACATCCAGCCCATAGATTGTATTTTCATGCTTCTTTGTGTGCCTGGTAGTTTTTCATTTATTTTTGTTTTGCTGTTTTTGCATGGTAGATATATAGTATAATACAAAATATAATTTACATAGTATAATATAGTTTTATTTTTTATGTATATTATATAAATATATAAATACTTTGCTCTGGATGTGATAGTTATTTGAAAACACTTTGATTCTTTTGGATCTTGTTTTTAAGGTATATTTGTGGAAGCAGAGCAAATTTTGCCCCACTACTGAGGCAAAACTATACTTAGTACTTGATGCTCTATAAATCATGAGACTTTATGCTCCAGCTTTTGGCAATCTATATGTAAACTGTCCCTGGCCCTATGTGAGTCCTTGGGATTGTTTCCTGCAGTACTTTGGGTATTCTTTATTGAACCTGACACCATTTATTTACAATGGCTACACTAGTCAATACTCAACTGAACATTTGAGGTGAGGATCCTCAGCATATTTCTGGACTTTCTCATTTTGTTCTCTGATAGTCTAGCCATCATGTTCCCCCATTTCTCTGTGGCCTAGAAACTTTTTAGGCAGCAAGCTGGAGAAATTTGGGGCCCTACCTCATTTTTTTTCCAACCCTAAAGAATCACCATCTTTTTTCCAATGTCCTGAAAATTATTGTTTCTTTTCCCCTCTCTCCCACCTCCTGAACACCTACACATACCTTACAGGTTTTGTGGATATTATTGTTATTTTTTAACGGACTTTAATTTTTAGAGCAGTTTGAGTTCACAAAAAAATTGCATTAAGAGTACATTTCTCATTTATTCTCTGCCCCCACACATGCACAACCTCTGCTACTATCAATAGTCTATGTTAGAGTGATACATTTTTTACATTGGCACAGAATAATCACCCAAAGTCTGTAATTAGGACTTAGTATATATGCTATGGGTTTTGGCAAATGTTGAAGACATATATCCACCATTATAGTATCAAGTAGAATAGTTTTACTGCCTGTGATAAATGTTTTCCTATTCATCCCTTCCAAATCCCTGGAGACAAACCACTGATCTTTTTACTGCTTCCATAGTTTTGCCTTTTCCAGAATGTCACGTAGTTGGAATGAGATTGGCTTCTTTCATTTAAGTAATATGCATATAGGCTTCTTCCATATCCATATCTTTCAATATATTTTAGCTCTTCTTTTTAGCCCTGATAACATTGCATTATCTGCTTATTTATCCATTCACCTACTGATGGATATCTTGGGTGCTTCTTTTTTTTTTCTTCTGCAGTACTGGGGCTTGATAGGTTCTCATGAACTATTTCCGCCGCTGGCTTCCGACCACAATCTTTGCCACTGATCTCTGCCTCCTTAGTAGCAAGGATTACAGGTGTGAGCCACTGGCGCTCGGACTTGGTTGCTTCTAAGCTTTGGTAATTCTAGACAAAGCTGCTGTAAATATCTGTGTGCAGGTTTTTGTGTGAACATGTTATTCGTATATTTAGGCAAATACCAACGAGCATATAGTATCCTATAAATCCCTTAAGTTCATTTCACTTTTCTGTTTGCTCTTCTGATTTAGTCATTTCAAATGACCTATATTTCATGATCACTTACTCTTTTATCTTCCTAATCCAGTCTGCTGTTGAACCCCTCGAGTGAATTTTTTCAGTTCATTATTTAATTTTTCTACATGAGCTATTGTTTTTTGTTTCTCTTTGTTTGATATTCTCATTTTGTTCATCATTTACCTGATTTTATTAGTTGTCTGTGTTCAAGCATCTTTAAGATAGTCATTTTAAATTCAGTTATTTTAAATTCTTTCAGTTCATTAGCATCTTTTAGACACTTAAGAGTCAGCCCTCTAGACATGGTGGAGTGGCTCAAGTGGTACCTGACTAGCAAGCCTAGCAAGTGTGATGCCCTGAGTCAAGCCCCAATATCACCAGAACAACAACAAAACAAGATCTCAAAAAATAAATGTGTCACCAAGGTGGGCTGGTGGAATGGTTCAAGTGGTAGAGCACCTGCCTAGGGAGTGTGAGGCCCTAAGTTCAAACCCCAGTACCACCAACAAACACTCAATGAAAAAAAAAAAAAAGAGTCAGCCCTCTGAATCTATAGTTGCCATATCCATAGATTAATTCCAGTACTAGGGAGGAAGATCTGGAGTTCGAGGCCAGCCTAGACTATAGGGGATCCTATCTCAAACAATAAAGAGACAGCATCTGCAGATTTTGGATATTTTTATGGAGTCCTAATTCCCCATGGATGCTAAGAGCTAACTACATTTGAGATTGAAATTACATTTCTGTAGATTCAGTTTCTGGAATTATATCTTCTTCCTTTGATTAGCCTCATTTCTCTGATTACTCTGTTTTTTTGTATGCCTTGTGATTTTGTTACTATTGTTGAGACTCTTGCATTTGAAAAAATAACCATTTCTCTTGCTTTATGGACTGCTTCATGTAGGGAAAGACCTTCACCAATCAGTTAGAGTTGCCATGATCTCCCAGACAGTTCTGAAGATTGTCTTCTCTGGAGTTGTGCATGTGCATCCAATTGTCTCAGATTTCCTAGACCTTTTTCTTTTTTTTTTTTTTTGAGACAGGGTCTTGCCTGTATAACCTAGGCTAGCCTGGAACTCAAGATCCTCCTCCCTCAGCCTTCTGAGAGCTGGGATTGCCAGTATGCATACCACACCAGATCAACAATTTGCCCTTGCTTCTTTCTAGAGTCCATAATCCCTTGCTTCCTCTGCCATCTTCCTGTGGAACTGCATCTCTGACATGCCATGATGATCATGTTTTCAGTGACTTTCAAACAAGTCCTCCAGTCTTGTCACTTCTCCAAGTCAGGCAAGAAGAAACCAGCTTCTCTGGCAGCCCCCAGATTATCCAGAATGTTGAACATGCATCCCAGGAGAATCTCTGGTGTGAGAGGTTTCCTTCCTGATGAGCCCTGTTAATGTTAAATAGGGGAGGGAGCACAACACACTGCCAAGTTTTTCACTGGCATCTCTTTCAAATGCTTTTTCTTTTGAGAATGATGTTTAGAGTTAGGGGGAAGAGAGGCTTTATAATACTGGGAGGAATGTCTCTTGTTACAGGATTTTTTTTTTTCCCCAGATAGGGTCTTGCACATTTTCCCTGGAGCTGGACTCAGACACTAATCCTCCTACCTACACCTCCCAACTAGTTAGAATTATAGGCATGCCCCAGCACACCCAGCTTATTTGTTGAGATGGGGTTGTGCTTTTTTGTTCAGGCTGACCTTGAACTGCTATCCAGACTGCTTGATCTCAGCCTCCTGAGTAGTTGGGATTACAGGCGTAAGCCACTGTGCTCAACTTTCTGCAGGATTCATTTGCTTGTTTTGTTCATCTTTGCTGCAGTATTTTCAAAAGGTATCACCTTTGCTGTATACATCTGATTTTTTCCCCAGAAGCAGTGGTTCTCTCAGAGTGTTTGGCTTATTCCTTATTGTCAAGTACTGAGAAAAATCAAAGTTATGAGACCTGTGTTCATTATTTAGTTGGACTTTTCTTTCTAGGGATGATTTTTGTCTGTGCTTCATCTAATTTGTCCACAGCCCTTGATTTGTTCTTTTTCTCTGAATCTTTTAAGCCTCATCTCTTGTTTTCTTTACTCATAGGCTTGCAGCAGTGTGTAATGATGGGAGATCTGTTGGAATTTAACTTTTCTTATTTAGAAGATAATTTGAAGATTGTGTAGTAGCTACTCTCTCTTAGTAATACTGAAGATATGGGTCATATGTGATTGTATTTATTCTCTGTATTGATTGACTTTTCTGGGAATCTGTGTGGTATCACCATTTTTCTCCAGACTTGCAGGAACCACAATAGAGTACTAGGTTCCTACCTTATCCAGACTATGCTGTTCTCTGCAGGTGCTTGAGCAAGCAAAAGTGGAAATTCCCCTGTTTCCCGTCAGCATTGTCCAGTTCTCTTTTGAGCCTTTTTCACCCATCTTCACTGAGGAGATGAACAAAAGGGTAAGTAGATGGATTCTACTGAACAATATTAAGGTAAGTCATGCATGCTTTATTAAATTTGCATCTATTCTGTTTTTTTCAACATATAAAATGTTTTTTAATGTTAAATGTTTTTATAAAAGTAGGAATCAGACTATGCATACTGTTTTGCAACTTTATTTTTCATTTAAACGGTACATTTTCTATATCTTTCCATGTCTATTATAAATAATGTTGCAGTGAACATCTTTGTATACAAATGATTGTATATTTGGCAAGTATTTGTGTCAAAAAAAAATTCTTGAGGTATCATTATCCCATGCTTCAACTCATGATTTCAATTCTCTTTCCATACCTACCTCTTCATTTCATTGTTGTTTTTCCTGTAGATGAGAATCAAGTGGACAGAGATGTCAACTGTCTATGCTGGGCCATTTAGCAAAAATTGCAACCTCAGGGATCTGAAGAAGTTATTTAAGACCTTTGGCCCAGTCCGGTCAATGACTCTCATACTTGAAACTCCTCAGGTAAGGAGACCAGAAAATTTAGATTTTGACCTTCTAGGTTAGTATTAGAAATTCAGATAATTTCTGGGGCCATCCAGATAATAAACAATGACATGAGCTTGAATGTCTCTAATTCTGTCTGATGGGAGCAATTGTTGACACATGAGAACATATACCCAGTATTGCCAAGTCTTCTGTTTTTATGTGTGTGTATGGTTTTTTTGTTGTTGTTTTGTTTTATTTTTTGGCAGTACTAGGGCTTAAACTCAGGGCCTCATATTTGCTAGGCAGGCACTGTACCACTTGAGCTACTCCTCCAGCCCTTTATGTGTGTGGTTTTTATTTTTGTTTCACTTAATGAGAAATCGGCCAATTTTCCTGTGTTGGCTTCAGCTCTCTTAAATATCATGTAGGCCATACACAAATGTCTGTTGGCTGAATGTAGCCTGTTGGCCTTCTGATTGTGAACTCAGCTTTAAGTGATAAAGTAACTCTTTCAAAAAGAGCAGTGACTTCCATGTCTTGGAAAGTCTTGTAGGGCTTAACTACAAGGTAGAATCATAGGTAGGATAAGATATAGGAGGCTTTGGGGAGAGCTTTTTTTATTTATGTATTTTTGTGGTACTAGGGATTGTACTTATTGTCTCACACGTGTTATAAAGAATTCAATTAATTATGCTTTTTATCTGTTTATTTATTTTTGTGGTACTGGGGTTTGAACTCAGGGTCTACACCTTGAGCCACTCCACTTTTTTGTGAAGGGTTTTTTTGAGATAGGGTCTCTCCAAGTATTTGCCCTGACTGGCTTCGAACTGTGATCCTCCTGATCTGTGCCTCCTGAGTATCTAAGATTACAGGCGTGAGCCACCAGCACCCAGTGCTTATTTTTCCTTTTTCAAATGCTGTGGTATATCATTTTAAGAATTCATATGGCTCAAAAGACTTAATGAGTAAGTCACCATCCTCATGGTTAAGTTGTATATAGAAAATAATATACAATAATTGGTAATTATGGGGCCTTCAGAAAGAGGAGCTCTAGATAGCTGAGAAAAGGTGTTGGGGGAAGACTTCATTGTAAAGTTTTTGTACCTTCAGAATTTAGAACTAGGGAACTATTGGCCTGGCACACTAATAACAAAACTAAGCAAAAACAAAGTAATGTAAATACAGAATCCCAAATATTTAAAAATGTGCTTTTTTCCAAATCTTTTATTCTGTGACTTAAAATGAAATTAAATGATTATCCTTGAGAAGATGGACTGAGAGATGGGAAGTCTGTAGTAAAGAACTGTAACCTCTTCTAAGTCTTAAGTCTACTTTTGTTGGCTTTTTTTTTTTTATATAAAATAAATATAACATGGAATTTGCCTCTTAGCCTTTAAGTGGTATTAAGTATATTGATATTGGTGCAACCATTTCTGCCATTCATCCCTAGAATTCCTCATCCCAAATTGAAACTCCCTATTGAATAATTCCATATTGCTTCCTCTCCTTAGCCCCTTGTAACCACTACTTTCTGTCTCTATGAATTTGACTCTTCTGTGCACTTTATATAAATGGAATCATACAATATTTTTCATTCTGTACTTGGCTTATTTCACTTAGTGTAATGTCTTCAGCGTTCATCCATGTTGCAGAATGCATGAAAACTTCATTCCTTTTTAAGACTAAATAGCATTCCATTGCATGTGTATACATTTTGTTTATCCATTCTCCCATCAGTGGACATTTTGGCTCTTTTTACCATTTGGCTATTATAAATAATGCTGCTTTGAATATAGGTGTACACATATCTGCTCAAGTCCCTACTTTCTTGTTTGTATACACCCAGAAATGGAATTGATGGTCAAATGAATTGTTTTAATTTTTTGTGGAACTACTGTACTGTTTTCCATAGCAGCTATACCATTCCTACCAGCAGAGAGCAAGACTTCTAATTTTTCATATCCTCACTCATACTTCTTTTCTGTTTTTTTGATAATAGCCATCCTAATGGATGTGAAATGGTATCTTATTTTGGTTTTGATTTGCATTTCTTTAATGATTGGTGATACTGAGCGTTATTGGCCATTTTTTATATCTTCTTTAGAAGAAATGTCTATTCAAGTAGTTCCCCATTTAGGCCAGGTATGGTGGCTCATGCCTGTAAATCTAAGCTACTCAGGAAGTATAGATTGGAAGGATCAAGGTTCAAGTCCAGCAGAGGCAAAAAATTAAGTGAGACCCTCCTGCACGGTCTCACTCAATAAGCCGGGTGTTGTGGTTCAGGTCTCTGATTATGGCTACATGAGAGGCATAAATACGAAGATCAGGGTTCAGACCTTACCTGAAAAATAACTAAAGCAAAAAAGGTCTAGGGGTGTGGCTCAAGTGGCAGAGCACCTGCCTGGGAAGCGCAAGCCCCTGAGTTCAAACCTTACTGCCAAGAAAGCAATAATAAATAAAAGTGGTTGCCTCTTTTTTAATCATGTTGTTTGGGGGTTTTTGTTGTTGTTGAGTTGTAGTTCTATATTAATTGTAGATACTAATCCCTTACTAGATATGTGGCTTTTGATATTGTTGCTAGTGTCTTGTATGTGCAAAAGTTTTATATTATGATGAAATCCAGTTTGTCTAATATTTTGTTACCTGCCTTTGGCATTATTTTCAAGAAATCATTTCCAAAAGCAATGTCATAAAGCATTATGTGAGAGGGATTTTATCTCTGATGATCCTATGGTTCACGTGATCACAAAGATTTAGCTACCCTGACATGAAGCAGAAAAAGCAGATGACTTGAAGATGTGAAGAACTTAGCCTCCCAAGCTTATCGGAAAGCTGTCTGTCTAAAATCAAGCTAGTAAGACAAATAGGCATCTCTGCCTGTGACTTAACATTAATGACTGAAGTGATGCATAATAAATACAAAAAGCAAGTTAGGATAATAACAAATTTGTTAGTGTTCTCTCCCACCTCCCAATGTAGTGGGCTTTGATTTTAAATGGCAAGGTTAGTTATTGCCTGAAAACCAGTTTCTGAATCTTGGTAATTTTGAGCCAACATTTGCAGTCATTGCCTATCTAGCCCTGCATAGCAAGGGCATCTGTTCTAGCAGCTTTGGCCACTATAGTTTGGGTCTCTTTTCCTGCTCCTTCTCTTAGCAGTTTGAGCTGGAAAGCAGCAATGAAAAAATCTTGATCTTTTCACAGCCTCATCTCTGCATACAGTATGAAGTTCTGGAAGCTGCACAGCTGGCCCTAGAGTCCTTGAGTGGCATTCTGTTAGATGGCTTATGCATCAAGGTAGGCTGGCCAGAGAAAACCAAAAGCAACCCCCTTCACTCAAGCCTGGCCTAACTGCCTGTATGTATAATGCTCCAAGACATGTAAGAAACATCCTAGAAGGTCCAGGCACAAGACTATTATGGAATGTCTTCATTCCAAGTCTGGCATTCTCCTAGAAGTGAGCTAACATTCAACAGCTAATTTAGATTGGGGTCTTCCTTATATTCCTTATCACAACTTAAGCCCCAAATGATTGATTCTGGGTGGTTCTTTGTGGTTGCCTATTCTTCAGCTTTCAAGGCAATTAGATGATAGTGTTTTGACATTTTTTGTGCAAGGAAACAATTTCATTGAGTATGGGAAGCAGGGAACTGAAGAGAATATATGTATATATCTGTTTATTAAGTCTCTAGTTCTGTGGGGCAGTTACCATTATCCTCCTTACAGACTAGGAAGCTACAAAATTAAGTTAGTAATATACACCGTCCCTAAGGGTAAAAATGACTTTCTATCATTAATACCATTTCCTTGGTTAGGTCCAGAGGCCTATAACAGAGCTCACACTTGATTCTGACACCCTTGTGAATGAGCTGGAACAAGATTCTGAAAACCGAGCTACTGTTTATTTGGCTGGAGTGAGTGAAACCTTTAAAGAACACCTGTTCCAGCAGTCCAACCTCTTCCTTGACCTGGAAGCTCTGATTCTGCCCAAAGATCTTAAAAGTGGAAAGCAGAAAAAATACTGTTTCCTGAGTATGTCTATGCCACCAAATGTAGTCTTGAAGGGGGATTGAGATGGTGATGTTAACATAAGATCAGAGAAAGGAAAGGTTCACCAAATAAACTGTCCTGGGGTTGGACCAGAGGAAGCACTGCTGATTCTGTCCTTGCCCTGGGGCCCTGGCCAGGTTCCAGCTCATATAATGATCAACTTTTTTGCCCTTAATAACAGATGTTGGGGATATTCTTGCTTTCAGAATTCAAAACTTTTGGCAATGCCCAGAGGGCCCTTGACATTGTTACAGGCAAGGACTGGAAGTTGAAAGGCAGGCATGCCCTCACCCCCAGGCACCTCCATGCATGGCTTAGGGGCTTACCATCTGAATCAAGGTCCCCAGAGCTTCAAGTTATATCTCCTCTCTCAGAAAAGCAGACTTTGCAGGTGAGTAAGTATATCCTGGGGAGGAGTTGGGGGGAGGGGGAGGTTGTGGGGAGGGGAGAGCAGCTCTGGTTTGTGGACTCTGGACCCTGGATCCTGTCTCTAGAGAATAGTCACGAGAGTTCTGATCAACAACACATTTTTCTGCCAGATCACTCATACTTTTTCCACACCTGCTAAAAATCAGGTTTTTAGTTTTCAAGGTGGCTACCCTAGGAACTTTGAGAGACCAACATGGGAGATTAGAGAGCTGGACAAGTCTTTAGTGATCTGGTTCAGGGTTTCCCAAAATGTGGTATACACACAAGATAAACTTTGGCTACCACAGATGGACTTTTTTTTCACTTTTATAATTATGGACTTATTTTTCATTAAAGTATACAACCACAACCTGAGGTTTCATAGGTAGTATTACTTTGACAAAGTGAAAGCAGAAATTAACTCACTTTAAAGGCATGAATAAAAGTGGAAATAGGAGAATGGATGAAGCCTGAAAAACTCTGTCCTAGTGTAACATCATACACTTAGCAGATGAGAAGTTGAGGTTAAAGTGTATGAAGATACTTAGTGGAAAAGGCCAGACTAGAAACCTCATCAGTGATGTCTCCCCCCTGGCTTGGGGTCCTGGAAGACCCATTTGGAGGAGGAAAAGACAGCAGCTGTTCTCCCCTGGGGAGGTCCTAAAACACGTTATGCCTATAGTATGAGCTCCAGATCACAAGGGGATTTGTCCAGAGCCTTTACAGGGATCCCCATGGCTTTAGAGCCTGAAGGAGTTAGCTCACCCTTAAAAGGTGAGCTAAGGGTGTTCTGGCTAAGTGCTGACACATGGCTTTGTTCCCAGACAATGAAGGTGGAGCACCCAAAGATAGCAGCCTGGCACTGGGGCCAGAAGATTGGAAAGCTGTACCGCAGCCTGGGTTCAGGCACCCTCTGCCTCATCCTGCTGCCAGGAACCAAAAGGTAAGGACTGTATTGTGTTGTTACTTATGATTCTGGACCCTGGACTTCAGCTGTTCTTGGAGAAAGACCTTATGTTGATGTTCAGGCACATAATGAAAACTTAGATGTGCCATCTCTTAATTCCCACAATTCTAAGAGAGAAGAATTGTATTCCCATTTTACATTTATATGATCAGTACACTTATTTATATCTCAGTACCCTTATTGGTCTCTCAAGGAGGCAGCTCATCCCAATTTAAAACCAGGTCTCAGGTCCTAAAGCCTTTCCTGGGTAAGGAGTAGCTAGTTAACTTGAGGAAGAAAGGTCAAGATTTCCTAGGAGCTAAGGTTCGGGATTAGGTGTGATCATCAGAGCCTATCTTTCCCAAGTATCAGGAGTATGTTCTTGCTTTCCCTGCCTTTTCCCCCCCATTGCCATCTCTAATCTTAAATAATATAATGGATGTGCCTGTTTTGCTGATTCTAAGCCTAAGGAATACTGTAGCAGGCTTTGTGTTCCATTTCAGTATCAATCACCTATCTCTCACAAGCCACTTTCCCATCATAGGTCTCAATTTTCCTTCTAAGCTGGGAGTGGTGGCACATGCTATAATCCCAGCACTTAGGAGACTGAGGCAGGATCACAGGATCATTCAATGGACTGAGACCAGCCTGGGCTACACAGCAAGACCCTGTTAAAAAAGAATAGGGATTCTGAGTTAGTGATTTTTAAACTCTTAACACTTTTTACTGTAAAAGTGTAAACACTTTCTATAAAAAAAAGTGATGTTAAATATTAAAGCATAAAGATGGGCAGTTCTGGAATGAATGAATGAGTGAATTAGTGTATAGATTAGAGGAAGGAAAGAAGATAAGTTTTTTTGGAGCAGTTTGAGAAACATAGGACTGTATTATTTCTTACAAGGTCCTTTAAGATTCTGACATTCTAGGAGATGGCAGAGTGAATGGCAGAATGTGAATATCTCAGGCCTTGAAGCCAGAATCAGAAATTCATTTCCTGTCATAAAGTCCTTTTAACATGGACTTTTGGGCCACTGGTGAGATGATATACCTTCTGGGCAGCTTGAAAGAACTGCTTTCTCTGAAAAACAGAAACAAAAATTAGGTGTTTACATTGAGGGAATCTTAGACAAAATACTTGAAACAAGATTGTGGGTAAGCTAACAGTAAAAGGTTTTAAAGTGACCAAAAGTTGCCATAAAGCTGCTTGGTTTAGAGCAAAAACTCTGTGGCTACAGACGGACTTGCTCTTAGATAGATGTGTGTGTGTGTGTGTGTGTGTGTGTGTGTGTAACTCTGTGGCTACAGACGGACTTGCTCTTAGATAGATACGTGTGTGTGTGTGTGTGTGTGTGTGTGTGTGTGTGTGTGTGTGTGTGTGTGTGTAGCAAGTGCATAGTTAGGCTTTGAACTGTGACAGTGACTCCATAGCCACTGTCTTGCCCTCAAAGCTCTACTCCTTCATCCACAAAAAAGACTACTGCTTGCTAGTTAAGATCAGGTAATAGGAGACAGATTCTGTGTGTCTTTGCTCACTTCTGCTTGCTTTTAAGATCTCCTTAGCCCTCTAATCTAACCCAATTCCATGAATATTCATGACAAGTGGCAGGGAACTAACTGGTATTGGGTAACTCCTAAATTCTAAGTGTTTTACAATACATTATTAAATGATGTTGTTTTAAAAAGTTTTTCAAACAATGCTTGTCACATAATATATGCTATAAAACTGTTTTAAGTAAAATGAACACAAAATACTTAAAATTAAAAGCAGTTTATAAGGACTTTTGACTACCTTTATTGAATCCCTGGTTTCATTGTGTGACTTGTGCACACAATGTCTATGAGCCTTTTTTTATTGTTTCGTTCCAATACTGGGGATTGAACTCAAGGTCTTGCACTTGCTATACAAGTGCTCTGCCACTTGCACCATACCCCCAGTCCTTTTGTTTCTAGTTTGCTTTTTACGTAGAGGTCTCATGCTTACTTTGCCTAGAATAGCTGGGATTACATGCACGGACCACCACACCTGGCCCCAGAGCCTGTTTATTTGAAAAATGGAGGTAACAGTTGTATTTACATCACTGATGTAAATGAGAGAAGTACATAGAACAATCCTTTGGATGTAAAAAGTGCTCAGTATGTGTTCACTAATTATTTTCTGTAGTTCTCACAAAAGCCCTGTGAGATAGTAATTTAAGTATGTTAGAGTTTTATAGTTGAAAAGACAAGGCTTGAGTAGCAGGGCTAGGATTTGAGTCAGGCCTCTGGGACTAGCCTTCAGGCAGTTTTCCGTAATTATATGTCTCCTTTTTTGCCTTGTAGCAAAAATACTTGAAATTTTACCTTCTCTGGCCTAGGAGTTTGTAACCATTCATTTAGCTTTATGGATAAAAATCTGTCTTCATTCCTCATTTTCTACAGCACTTGTGGATCACTCTGGTCTAGGACTGATGGGGATAAAAGATGAAGAAGAAAACACCACCCCAAGCATGGGTTTATGAGGCTACCCACCACTTTCCAGGTGCCATTTCTTACCCCTCATGGGCAAATGTGGAGCATGTGGTCAGGTTGGAGTGCCCCCTGGCCTCTCCATCCAATGGACAGCTTTTGTGGAAGTTGCTTACATGGCATGTGCAAATTTTCAATAAATACCTAAAATTCAAGCATTTCCTCATCTTAGGGTGAAGGAATTTGTTTTCTTTGTGTGAGTATATGTGCACAGGTGCCCAAGTGGTATATATGGATGGAAACCAACCAGGAGGAATGACTTCTCTGTGGAATAACCCATCCAGTTACACAGTTTGACAAAGCTATACTATCTATGAGTCAAAATTTCTATAAGACAAACCATTTTGTCACTGGCAAGTATTATAAAATTAAGTAAAAAGATAGGGTAAACTGAAAATCTGGCAAGTTCACCAGATGAGTAATATGGAAGATTCTTAGCTTTTTGCCAACTCTGAAAACTGCGAAATCCTCCTACCTTGGGATACAGCTGTAGTGTCATTCTTCACCAGTAGGTGCCTCTGAAATACCAGCTCCCTCTCTGGAACTGAAAACTTCAAATTCAGTAAAAGCCAGTGTTCTGCTTTTTAAGCAGCTTTCAAACTGATAATTCTGTTTTGGAAAGGACATGGGGCATAAGCACACTATTATAAACCAAAACTAATAGAGATATTAATTCCCTCTAAGGAAGGCAAACTAATCTCTCATATAATATGTGTCACACCAAAAACCTTGCTGTATATACTTAGACCCTACAATTCAACATCAAGAGTACTATCCTAGGGTAATAAGATACTTTGACAAAAATGTGTATGAAGGAGATAGCAGTTATTACAATGGAATTGTAGGTAGCCATTTTTAAGTATGTGCCTGTGTGGTATTTATCATGCCTTCAAATCTCAGTTTTTTACTTATTTGTTGTTGAACTTAAGTAAGTTCTCTGTTCTTGGAATGATGAGATATATTTCAGTATTATGGTGAAGATAAATTCCAGTGCTATATATTATTTGCTATATGAAGTGTGGAGGGAAGAGCTACAGAATAGTATGTATAGAATTTGTTGGAAAAATTTACAAAGCTACACATAGGCTTAGAACCAAATCTGTAAGACTACTTACTAAATGTTAACACTATTATAATTGACAAATTAGGTTTTACCAAATTATTTTCTGTGTGTATATTGGATTTTTTTTTTTAAATTCACTCTCTTACAATTAGAAAAAAAAAAAAACTGTACCTAAAATTCACTCTTAAGATTGGGCATTTAGGTCAATGTTTAATCCTCATAGAAATGTAGCTTCTATAAGATCTCACCCTAAAATGAGGCAGCGTCAAAGAACTTGATTTTGTTCTGGGACTCAGCTACCTGAAATCCCTCCCAGGAGAAAAGTTCTGTTGTTACTGCCAACTTCAGCTCTAAGGTCCTGAGAACAACTTCTACTTGACACGTGTTGCTGGATTCCTTCCTGTCCAGTGGAACTCCAAAGCTGTGAAAAGTTCAGTTTATTTTACTTTTGATCCTGTCAAAAGTAAGTGCCTGCCTTGGATATGGACAGGTCTGGGGTAGAACTTCACCTCTTCAGCTCTACTTCTGATATTTCTGGGCAAGTTGCTTATTTGAGTTCATTTACATAGCTATCTAAAGTGAGGTGTATCTACTTTTAAGGATTGTTATGTCATTGCTGAACATGACAGAATACTGGGCTATCTATGAATTATTTTCCTTGTAAGAGCCTATTTCCTCATCTCTAAAATAGGAAATATCTTACTTCATAAGGTTGCTCTGAAGATTTAATTAGGGAAAACCCAGAGTAAGTGCTCAATAAATGACAGGTATTTTCTAAAGGTCATTTTCACAGTGCAGGAAAAGTAGATTAGAGCTCTCTGACCCTTGCTCCCAAGACTAGCCAAGGCCACTCCTTCTCCTGGACTATTGGAGGGGTGGGGTTTTCCCGTGGGCTCCAACTCCAGAACTCTGCAGAGAGGGACCTAGACTGCAAGGCCTTTGAGACCTCAGTCTGCACACTCTGTTCTTTTCAGCTGGTGCTCCCACCTTTTGGAAACCAAAGCTGCCAACTTGGCCTCTTGCAAAACACACATTCCATTCATAAGTGTGTTTGTGTATTTTCCCTCCCACACCCTTATAGGCAGCCAATGCAGAGCTGCCAAGGCAGCTGCTTAGAGAAGCAGCATCTCATTTAGTGGGGGAAAGGCAACTCCAGAGGTTTTTACAGGACTCTTGATTCAGACTTTGAACATATCTCTCCTATTTTCTGGACTCTGCTCATCGTGAGACTATTCAGGACATTCAGCCATGTTTAAGTCATGTTTGTTTTCATTTGTCCCCTTTGTAAATAACCTCTTCCCTATTATAAATAGGAAAGATATTAATAGAAATTTGAAAACTCCAGAAAAATTAAAATCACATAATCCTACCACCCAGAACCAATGACTGCCAATATTTTATGAGCCTTCTGTCAAGCTTTTCCCACAATTATTCAAAAGCAAAGTTTTTGATATTTTAAGATAGGTCTCACCAAACACTGCCTCATTGTTAACTCTGAAGTTGCTCGCAAATCATGATGCCAATTATGATTGGCGTATATTTCTCTTAAATTCCTAAAAGAAACTGCTGGATAAAAGAGTATTAACCACTGAAGGTTCTTTTAATTCCAGAGAGGTTTTACTCTTTTTCCAGCATGGATTTGTTTCAAATCATTGCCAATCAGATAGGCTAATTTTTTTTTCCATTATGGGTTTTAATTCCTGTTTATTTGCATACCTTTTAGATTAGCATCCAACTCCCCCACCCCCACCCACCCCAGCCCTTTGGCCACTTTTTTTTTTCCCTTCAATGAGTTGTGCATATCTTTTGCCTATTTTTCTGTTGGAAAACCAAGTATTTTTTCATATTGAATTTTTAAGGACTCCTTAATGGATTAAGGTACCTAAGTTTTTCTAAGTTTATTTTCTATTGTGATTTCTATTTGCTTTACACATAGAACATCCTGATTGACCCATAGATCATTTTAAATATCTAATGGCAAGTTCATATATGTCTAATGATTTAACCCTTATTATTCCTAGAACTTTTTCTGACACGTGGTAACATTTCCCAGATATGCAGATAATTTTACCCAATTGTCTATATATACACCCAATAAGAGGTTTCTCCTTTGTAAGTCCATGCATGTACTAGAGCCAGTATTCATGTTTCCTTCTGTTTTGCATTAGTACACTCTATTTTAATATACATGCAATTTCAGGAGCACCATCCAAATCAGCATGGGGTCCATGGAGAGTCCCCATCACCATGAATTACAAAACACTATAGACTCAAGATCTATGCTAATGACTGCATTGCTGCTACTGTATTCCACTAGGACTTTCTCAGCACTCCTGAGAAAAAGAGACTGAATCAAGGTCAGATCATTGCAAAGAATAAACCCCAAGTAGATGCTTTATGCCTTTCTTAAGACAGAGATTCTTCAGAAGTCCAAGCAGAGGAAGGGAAATAAAGGCAGATAGGCAGCCTAACCTCTTCTTCACAGTTGGAGACTCCTTTTCAGTCTGGGTCAAAACCCTGAGATAGAGAGATGACTTCCAGAGCCAGCCCAGCCATCTGCTTTTGTAACTGGGTTTGACAGGAAGAAAGAAGGCAGTCCTGAAGTGACTATTCTGTACCCCCCCAAATCACTGTCAAGTGTATTTCTTGCTAGAAAAAATCCATTCTACATGCAGTTAAGTTCATCTGCTAATTGTATGAAAGTTGTTTGCCCTTCATCTAACTGAAAATTGGATTTTAACTGTTTATAATTAAACTGTTCGTATAGCACTGTGGCAACATTCAGAATATCTACATGTTCTATACGAGTACCCAAATTGGTATATATGCTTTATTACCCAAAGAAACTAGTTTGGCTTGATAACCCAGAAGAGCCAAAGCCCAACAGTCAAGGGAAGTAAGTGCATGTTCTGGGGGCATACTTTTTAAAATAAAAGTCAGCACACCCTCCCAGTTCCTACCTGATCTAACCTTGGTTATACGGAAGAGAAAAAAAATTGAATTCATCGAGAAAAATCTCAGAAACTTCTGCCTAGCTATGGAATATAGCCATGACTCCCAAGTCCTTTGCAACTAACAGAAAAGAAAAAGCACATCTAATCTTACCAGTGTACACAAGGCAGTTGAGCCCTACAAGGGGCAGTGACTTGTGAAAGATCACATGAACATGCCAAACACTCCCCACCCCCATCTCTGGATTCTCTCCATTACTCACCTAACATACTTTTGGAGAACCTTAAAGAGAAGATGGAGTACTTACATGCCTTAGGTGTCCACCTGCTAAGTGGAAGTTATGAGTAAGTCTCTTCATTTTACAGAAAAGAAAAAAGAGACTTAACTTACCTTAGGGTCACACAGCGGTGGCACTCTTAAGGCCAGATCAGTTTGTCTCCTTTGCCTTGATCACTGGAAAACTATGCATTTAACACAATGCTCTAATCACTCTTTAATCCTCATGGAAATGCAGAGTTATTTAAGGTAAGATTATTTCGGTAGCAGCCTTATTAAGGATTTATTTGCTATTTACCTACAAGCACTGGGACCGCAAAGGCCAACCCATTAAGCTTTGGTGCATGGGAGGTCAACAACTGTTTTGGAATCTGGGGATCTTGTACTGTCTGGACTATTTTCCAAAGCATTAGGAAATATTATCCAGTATCAGTGGAAGAGGCTCCCGATGGGTAAACCTTGCCTTAGAATAAAGTCACTTTTTTTTGTACTTTGTTTTTGCACAAATATCAATAGTCAAGTATACAAATTTATTAAATCCAACAACAGATAAACCTTCCAAATTAAAAAAAATCAAAAAAAAAAAGAATAAGGTAGACATCAAAGACAAAAATGTGTATAACAAGTTAATAAAGATATACAAGGGACCATTTGGAGAGTGCAACAGTGCAGAGAATACAAACTTTTGTGAAGTTTGTATAACATGAAGAAACAGACACTGGTCACAAACTGAGGGATCTACAAAGGTGGAGAGTCACATGAACAATGAACTCATCACCTCAGTGGCTTAAGGCAGGATATATGTAGGAACAATTCATCCAAGCCCCATTTGCCTATTGCTTCAAATTCCCTCTTTCAAATGTAGAATCATAATTCATTATGCAATGGGCGAGAGCAATTAATCACAGACTCTAAGGGCCACGGTCTAAGGAAGATATTTCTTCCACAGCAAATGTATGGATGTTAGGAGTTTAAAAACACAGCTGCTGAATAATGGTTTCCTTTGGCAATACCCAAAATCTGTGTTGGAAGGAGGTATCTATGAGAGCAGACTGTTTCCAAGAAATGAGGAATTAGAACTAAACTGTAGAACTTGATGGTTACTCAAAGCTATCCATCAAACCATCTTGGCTTCTATAACCAGAGCTCAATCATCAATTTATTTTGTCTTTCAAAAAGGTGTGTGTGTGGGAGGGGCGGTGGCCTTACACTGAAATAAGAATAGTATAAATAAATATACCAAGGGTAAAAATGGAGAGTGAGGAGACCTGCTGACCCTCACCAACATGCAGTCTCAGGCCAGGTTAAACTGGATATATGTTATAATTACAGCTTACCATGGGAATAAACACTAAAGGGGAGTGGTGGGAATCCCTTCTATATGACTCAGAAAAGAGATTGTGAAATAGAGGATCAAGGTCACATGTCCTCAAATGAGTCCTAATTAACACTTCAATAACTTTAATAATCTTACAGCCATTTAAACAAAACACTGCTGTAGTCCTTGGAGACCTTGTCAGTTATCAAGATACTCAAGTCATCATTAACCACACATTAAAAACAGCAAACCAAGCAACTCAAGAAAATTTTAAACAAACAAAAAAACTAACAGCAGCTTTCTTCCAGCCCTTACCTTCTACCTACGGCACTGAAGAGTCCACTTGAAATAGAACAAACCAAACAGTCCAAACTAGAGATCTTTTTGGGTTGTAAACTTTGAAACAAGTCTTTATTCCAGTAACTTCCTACCATCGTTAGTACAATTTGGCATAGTGTATGAGGCCATCAAGTGAACTGTAGGATCCAACACATTGTAGCCTCTAGGCCTGGAGACTGACTTGACACCAGTCCCTGGGAGATAAGTACTGTTTCAGACTAATACTGTGTGGAATAATCTTTATACAGCTGGCTTGGACCCATCCTTACAGAAAATACTACCATGTACATTTTTTATTATATTTCCCTGGGCCAGTGAGTTTGGTTGAAATTTGGATCTTCAGCCAGTTCTAGTGAATTTTTTTTTTTTCTTTTTGCTTTGCTTTATTTATCAAACAGGTACATACACGTACCTGGACCTAACTCACACATGTGGGCACCTGTGGTAGGATAAAGGGAGACCTGCTAAGGCAACCAGTTGAAGCATAGCAAAGTGTGATTATAGGAAGTGAGGTTAAGAATGATACATTCAAACTTGACAAAGATGGGGAAAGAACAATTCAATAAAACAACACTTTTTCTCATACCAGTTTGCTGATAAATTGCTAAAGAAACACCACAGAAGCTCACAAAGCCACTTGCCAAAACCAATTTCCCAACAGATTCAGTTTGTTATAGTCACCACCCTCAGATGTTGCAGATTTTCAAAATGGCATCCACAATCACCTTGGTGTCACAATCCTAGTGACAGGTGCACTGGCTCACGGGCAAGCATTTGGCCTCCGGAGTTACTATTCACTCACAGCAAACCTACTTCTAGGTTGAGAGGGACAAGGGCTTTTTGTTTCCCACAAATGCAACGACAAATCCGCCACGCACCTCACACCTTGGAGCCTGTGCAAAAAATTTGCTTTTCCTGTGGTGGTGGTCATGCTGTGACCGAGTGATTACAGAAGCTTGAATTCCTTGCTGGGCATCAGGAATTCTAACCTGACTGCCCCCTTTTCTGGCTTTTCAACAAAAACATCATTAAAAGTATAACCAAAAAATAATTTCTAAATGGCTCTTTTTTGGGGAACAGGGAAGTTGAATAATTAACTTTAAAAGAAATGCCACTGTAATGAATCTAATATACAATATGTGGCTCAGAGGCTGAGGGAAGGAATCTTGGTTCCTCTGGGTTCTGGCAGCCTCCCTTTCTGGTGCACTTGTCTCCCATATACCCTTCTATAATTTGAGACAGAAAAAGCCTTACCTAACAGGAGTAACTCACCTTTTCCTTCACTCAACCCAATCCACAAGTAGAGAAAACGAGTTCCAAACTGGCTGGATTGGCCTAAGTACTCCAGTACTCTTGTAGTACCCACACAAGCTGCTGGGAGCCCTGGAGAGACTTACTCAGCTAGAATAAAGTGAGACACCTGGCCTAAACTCCCCCCATCCTCCCAATCTGCTTTTCAGTAGTAGACTTCTGTGGCTGATTTTATAGTTTCTTCTCTGCCCCTCCTAAAGGGGCAACGTCAAGCTTAGGATTTAAAAAAAAAAAAAAAATTACAAGTATGTTCCTTATGTCAATACCAAATTTAGAAAAACTGTGACTGCCAACTCCTTAAAAAAATCACCTTTGTTATGATGGGAGGCCAGTGTTACATGACTACTAAAATGTGGAACGCAAAACATGCAACCCTTGCTCAGACTGAAATATACCTGTGGGGGGTGTTAATTATGAGAGATAACCCAAAATATTTAATAGACAAAATTCTCATTACCTCACAAGTATAAACATTTTTATAAGTTTTTATTTAAAAGATTTCCCTTTTTAATCTGTTCCAAAGTGTTGGAAGCTAAACTGTACAAGCTCCTGCCACCCACCCTTCCAGTACAGATTTTGAGGACATATTTTTAATGAAAAAATAAGAGGGTCCTCTGCTGATACCAGGTAGGACAAATTCAGCTTCTCAGGCTGGCAGTTTGGCCAAAACTGGCCTTATGGAGCAAGTGCCATGGAGGAATATGGGAACTGGGCTATTCCTGTTAAGAAATTCATATTCTCTTTAGTAAAAATGGTCCAAATTCAGGTGCAACAGCCTCCACTATAATGTTCTCTGGCACTCTTCTTAAACTATATACTGAAGGCAGCTCCCTCTTTTATGGCCAGTTTTAGCAGGCAAAAAAACAGGAATATAGATACATATATGTGTGTGTGTATATATATATATATATATTTTAATATATGTAAAATATATACATACTTAATATATGTATATATACATATTTAGGGACAGGCAGGGGAAGAAGAAGGAGGGTCATGTAAACCTAAACAGTCATCACATTACCCCAAATAAGCTTGACATTAACAAAAAGATAATAAATAACTCCTGGGGGTTAAGTGACAACATGGGTGCAGCAAGAAGGGAAAGGGCACATGTTTAAGTCAAATACACTTTGATAATTTGTTTGGCAGAATTCAAGCCAGCCCCAGGCTTCTGCACTTGCCAGACAAGTAAGCTGATAATAAAAAATAAAAAATAAATTGTAAGTTCAAGCAGAGCTCCATACCACAGTTTTCTTTTAAGTCAGCTGGTTGGCAGGCACAGTTTTCTGCCTCTAGGAACAGAAACTTTGGCTTCAAGGCAAATTTTTTTAAAAAGTATTTCCACTTATAACATGAAAATACAGAAACTTCATCAAAGAAAGAAAACTATCAAAGAAGTCTACTTCCAGCAAAACTGAGGTAGCACTGCTTTCTCTGCATTCAAAACTTAAGTGGTTCTCAATACAATGTGTTCTTAAAAAAGAAAGTTTAAAAAAAAAAAAGCAAAACCGCTCACTTGACTGACAGGTACAGCATGTTGACAGATAAACTCAACATGAAATGCAATAGGTCAGAGAAGGAATGAGCAAGAAGTGAGGAAAATAAGGATTTTGGATAAATTAGCTTCAAAAGGGGTCGTCACCAGACTGCAAATGCTCTTGACTGGCCTTGGCTCTCCAAGAGTACTAAATCATCTGGGAATTAATGCAATGTGGTTAACAGTTAACACTGCTATTCAAATCTGTAAATCTTTAAAAATAATTATTACAACCTAAATTCAACCATGTAAACACACTACACACAGTACAGACCTGCCCTGAAAAACAATATGCAAAACTGAGATCTGGCACTGTATCATTTTGTAATGTTAATTCAACCTAACAGTCCCATCCCCCCACCCGATCTATACCCTCCCCCACAAAAACAAAGCAAAACAAAATCTAAATTTGTGCAAGAAATGGCAGGCTTATTCTATCTGAAGGCTTCAAAAAAAGATACACAACATGTAGCCAGGTTCAAATATTTTGGGGGATTCCCTCCCAAAAAAAGAAATAAACAAAATTTAAAAAAATGAAGAAAGTGCCTAAAACATGATACAGCATTTTAGAGCCCTTTCAGATACAAGGCAGAGAAAGGTGTAAAGTAGAAAATATCCGGATCTTCAGTAATTTCCAGAAAGGTCCAATTCCTCACTTGGCTGCAGGGCAGTGGGCAGATCCTCACTGCTGCTCCTGGGACAAAGCCACTATGTCTGCTCCTCAGGACATAAGCCCTCAGGCCCTGAGCTGAGTGCACCTCTCCCTTCCCCTTCTCTTTTCCTTCGCTCCATTTCCCACTCCACAAAGGTATCAAAGAGACTTGGCCAGGCCTCATCTTCACTGTAGTTGCTGAGGTCAGGACCAATCACCTGAGTGAAGTTAAGGAACATGTTCCAAGTGTCCCGGGAGATGCCCTTGATCCCCGAGGGGTTCTCTGTTAAGAAGTTTAGCCATTGGTCCAATACTGGAGGATTGTTCTGGGTAAAGACTAGTTTCCACAGGGCAATGGCTATTTCCCGATGCAGTGACCGCTGCCCTTCTTCAGAGTCCAGGCCAAACTGAAATGTAAACCGGTAGAGATCCTTGAATTTATCCTCTTGTTTGGCTTCTGTTAAAAGGCTAGGGAACCGTGCACAGATCCCATCAATGCTGTCTGCACTTATTGCTTTGCAGCCATCAAAAAACTCCTTCCTACAACAGGAAGGAAAAGGCACATTAATTAATAATTATAAAAGAGTTTTACTGAAAGGCAATATAGTACAGTGATAAAGAATATGACTTTGAGCTGGCAGGGCAGCACCTGCCTAGCAAGCATGAAGCCTTGAGTTCAAAACCCAGTACCACAAGCAGATAGATAAATTTTAAAAATGAATATGAGGGCTGGGGGCCTGGACTGAAATTCTGACTCTTCTACTAAATAGTCTAGTTCTATTTCCTCATCTGTCACAAAATGAGACTCCCACCTTCATAGGATTTTGGTGAAGTTTTGGTGAAGATTCAACTAGTTAATAGACGCTTACTGCTTCTAGTTAATTATGCCTGGCACATGGTAAGCAAATGATATCATTTAGATTTCCCAAAGCTAAATTCAAGTCTCCTGCTCTTTGGCCTATTGTTTCCCACTTTGAAATAGTGATGAAGCTGTACACTCTCAGATGGAGAGACTTCCTGCTTTTGGTTATCTATAGTTTGGGGTATATTTCTGATGACTACCAAGGGAGACTTTTGAAGCCAATTCTGGATGAACCTGGGTAATTCTGCCATCAGAGATTGAAGTTCTGGGCACCAGTGGCTCATGCCTGTAATCTATCTGCTCAGGAGAGATCAGGAGGTTCACGGTTTGAAGCCAGCCTAGGCAAATAATTCAGGAGACCGTACCTTGAAAAACCCATCACAGAAAAGGGCTGGTGGAGCCACTCAAGGTGTAGGCCCTGAGGTCAAACCTCAGTACCACAAAAAAAAGAAATAAAGAACTCTTTTATTTAAAAAAAAAAAAATTGCAAATGTATTTTTTTGTTGTTTTTTGAGACAGGTCTTGCTATGTAGTCCAGGTTGCCCTGGAATCCTTGATCCTCATGTCTCAGCCTCTCAAATGCTGGGAATACAGGTTTATACCACCACACCTGGCTGCATATGTATCTTTAACATCTGTACTGCACTTTCAGCTCACAACACGGTCTCACACTGATAATATCAATCATAATATCTCAGGGACTGCTTAAGAAGTAAGACATCTGGCCGGGAGGCCACATAAACTACAGCCTGTTTGTCTGGGTTTCAAAGTTGGTTCTTTTTCATAACCTTGTGCTCTGCAAACCACACCCTGCAAGTGACTTTGCCGTGTCCTCGCCCACAAACAACTTGTATAGGTATGCATGACTGTGACAATATGTATACCTACTACTTGATAACTGGGGTTAGCAGTCCTTATTGCACGTAGGTCTGGATAAAGGCAGTATGTCATAACTAGAAGGGACAAATGGCTTCATGGAGTGATAAAAGGCATATCCCCAGAGGCGCTCATTGCATTGGCACTTAAATGCTTGGAACATGAAAGGTATGCAAGGAACATTAAGTGAGTAAGTTCACAAGTAAAGGGGTAAAAGAAAAGGTCTAAGATAGCAGTGGAGCTGAGCAACAACTCAGTAACAGGGCTCACTGGATTAGTCTTCATTTAACTTCAGGCAAAGGGCCACGGCCCAGTTACAAGCAATGATATGCATTTGACCCATAAATTAGGCAAAGGTTTTATTCTGTGAAAAGAAACATGGGTGTACAATATCAAAAACAGGAAGCTATCATAATATAAATGACTGAGCCTTACCCCCGAGAATTCCTATTCATTAGGTCTACCATAGCGCCAGGCATCTAGTTATTAAGGCCTCAGGAGAATCTGGTGGTGGGAGGGGGGTTCTCTGGATCAGAACCAAAACTTAGAACATTTAAGCTTTGGAGAAAATGGTCAGAAAGGGGGGGAACCAACACCACCACCAAAAACAAAACCACTTACTCCAAACCCTGTAAAGCCAACCCAGTTCTATCTTACCTAGCACCACTGCCCAATATTGCTCTTTACTCCTCTTCTCACCTGCTGACATAAATAATTTGTAACTAACCTGGTGAATTTGCACATGGTAGCAGCCTGGAACTTCCAAGCCAAAAGCAGCACTCGAAATTCCGTAGGGTCAACACATAGGTCATTGCAAAAACGCTCCATGCCTTCCTCCAAAATTGCATCCTCCCGCTCGTCCTTGTAGCGCCTGAACAGTTCTTCTAACCTCTGCAAGGAAGACTCCTCTGCATTGGACTTGGACTCCCTCCCAGCATCTCCTGAGGAGGTTGGCAGTTGACAGGCCTCAGTGGCAGCCTCTGCCTTCTTGGTTCCATTGATGAGGATATCCCCACCTGGCTTGCCACAGGGTGGCGCCTGTTCCTCACGATGGCCTGCCCCTCGCCTGCTGTGTGACTTGCTGCTGGGGTCCCGGTCTCCATTCTTGCTGCCCAAGGTTGATGAAGGATTCTTGCACTTGGTAACACACTGGCCCATGGTGATGATAGCCTGACCTCTAGAGTGGCCCTCTCTGGATCAGATGCCCTCGCTGCAACTGACCCATATACCTCAACATGCCATCAGCCAGAGGAGCCAGCCAACCTGGAAAGAAATTAGAAAGCAGTCACCTCTGGACCCCGAGGGGCATGGAGTATGGATACTGCCCTCTAGGAACTGCATACCAGTAACCACTCTTATTTTAGTGAGCCAGCAATGAGTCAGGGAAGATACCCTAAATCCACCATCATCTCCCTTGTAAGCCAACTCTGTAATTTCCCCTGGAAAATGCAATAGTGAGGGCACATACAGAGAAACCATACAGAAAATTCCTAGAATTCTTAATAGTGCAGCATAAATTACAAGAGATTAATTCATGTGCAGAATGCAAAGACCAGTTTCCTGACAGACCAGTTTTCTGACAGAAACATTCTAGAGGAAATCTGTCTTGCCAACTTGCCATCACGTAAGAAAGTGATTTGGACCTGAATTATGCCAGAAGGTGCAAATATAAGGTCCATCTTCTAGTTTCTAATGCCCACACTTTCCGAAGGAGGAACAGAGCTGGATGCTGGTGGCTCATGACTATAATCATAGCCACTTGGAAGGCTGAGATGGGATGATCATGATTTGAGATCAGCCCGGGTGAGACCCCATTTCAACAACAACAACAACAAAAAGTTGGGTGTGATGGTACATGCTTGTCATCTCATCAAGAGGGGAGAATGGGTGTTAAAATAGGAGGATCAGAGGCCTGGGCACAAAGCAAGACCCTATCTCAAAAATAACCAGAAGGTAGTGAGAGGCAGGGGGGAGAGATGGCCCAAACAATGTATACACATATGAATAAATGTATAAACAATAAAAATTAAATAAAAATAAAAATAACCAAAGACAAAAGGGCTGAAGGTGTGGCTCAAGTGGTGGAGCACCTGACTAGCAAGCAGGAAGCCCTAAGTTCAAACCCCAGTACCACTGTAAAGAAGGGAGGGGAGAAGGGATGGGAGAGGAGGAGAAGGGAGGGAAGGAAGGGGAGGAAAACTGAGAAAGATAAATAGGGAGAAGGGTTGTCCATTTCCAGGGCACCTGTAGTCTCATAATAGCCTAATGATAAGGTAAAGGATTTGCAGTACCAAGACTACAAAGCAGCAGCCTAGGCAAATGGCAGAGTGAAATTATCTGATCTCTCCAGATTCCTTCCTGATCCTATCCCATACAGCAAGTATAATGTCCTTTCTCTGCTCTACTCTACCAACCTACAGAAACCATCCACCAAGCTGATATTGCAAGCAGTTTCCTGAAAATGGTCAGAAAGACCATTTTCACCCGCCCACTATATCGAGATGTACTAGAATGCAAGCCAAGTTCACACTAAATGGCATTGTCAGGTGAAAGAGGCACAAAATGGATAGGCAGGAAGACAGCTCACCACCAGCACTGAGTTTACTGTGGAGAGTGGTCCTGTGGAGGGGTTCCCAAGCAAGAGAGCTAGAGCCCCAAGTCTCTTACAGACTGTAGGTAGATATAAGGTTAGTGGAGAAGTCCCAAGAAGGTCAATGGTTGGGAAAATCCTCAATGGCTTAAGGCGGGTCAGGTGTTCTAAGCCATATGGGGAGTTTCTAGTAAAGGCTAAAGGTGGGATGTTTCCAGTAAGTCGCCTTCAAGGGGGAAGGGTCCAGGTCTAAATGGCTTCCTTTTGTTCACTGTAACATTAGGCTCAGTGTTTCATGGTATGTTTCCATTTTAAAAGAAAGGATAACTTGGCAGATGAAAAAGATTGCATTGATACATAACAAAGTCATCATGGTGGTTTCTTAATTGTTATACTTAGTTATTGATTAATTGCTAGAAAGCTAGGCATGGCAATTTTATTTTATCTCCTCAGAAGGAGACCTGAGGATGGTGATCCCAAGGTCAGTTAGGCAAAGTAAGCTGGAGATCCTATCTGGAACACAAATTAAAAATGAAAGGGACTGGAGATGTGGCTCAAACCATAGAGCACTTGCCTAGCAAGTGAGTTCAATCTATAGTACTGACCAAACAAAACTGCTAGAAATTTCTGAGCCAAAGGGCTGTTTATTCAGGACTTGTTCTTACCTTCGACGAATGTTTGCTAGAAAGTCCATTTATAATTTAGTACTCACAAAATTTTGCCAGCTGTAAGAATAAAGGCAGCCACTGAAATCACACTGTTAATAGAAATGTGGACTAGGCAGCCAGAAGCATAGCAGGAAAAGCAGACACCAGACAAATCAAGGTCAGTTCCACACGGACCTCCCCAATTGTAGGAAGTTTTTGTGCGCTTTCATGATGCAAATTCAAAGCTCAGTAGTTTGGCAGTGAGGCAAAAGGGTGGTTATTATGAAAGGCTGAAGGTTTACACTTTCCCTAAAATATTCAAGTTCCTCTAAATAGAGCCTGGGTAAACTGGGACTTATTCTTTAAGAAGAATTCTAAGTTGGGTAAACTCTGACTGCAAAAATTTTAAATGAAGCCAGAATCATTCCAGTAGTTACCGTAGACTCATCATATCAGGGCGTGTCCTATTCTCCACCCTCAGAGAATACATGACAGAAAAAAAAACATGCCCATACATGCCCTCAAAAGATCTACAGTTCTCATCTGCTTCAAAAAACACAAAGAAAGATTTTTGGTATGCAAATGACAGACCCAGGTTAAGGTTTTTGTTTTTGTTTTTGTTTTTTGGCTTTTTGTTTGCCTGTTTTACAGTCTTCTCATGCTTTTAGAGTATAAATAGTAAGCCGTAAGCACAACCTATTCAGATTTCAAGAGGCAAAGGGTTAATTCTTGGAAGACCATCATACAAAGAGAAGCAACTGCTCAGAGCAGAATTATCTCAAAACAAGAAGGACTGTACCATGTGGAAGGTCTGGTCTCCAGATTTGTGTTTCTAAAGACTAGAATGCTGAAAGAAACAAAAGGCCCAAACTTACACAAACCCCACATGCTCAGATTGGCAACTAATTCTCAGGCTTGCTGACTCACCAGGGTTTGCTGCTCAGCTCCTGCTGCTGAGGGAGGCACACCCAGTAAAATAAGAGGATTTCCGGGCCTCCATAGGACCCACCTAACCAGGCAACTTATCCCCGCCCCTAACCCCACTGGACAGATACTTCACTAGAGCAACTTCCTCCAAAGCCTGGCACCAAGGCCTGTAGGTAGGGACAGAACAGACAGCACTCCCAAAGAGACCTAAATCCCACTTACTTCCACCAGCCTTCCATGTAAGAGCATCTTTTGTCTTTTGATGACCTGACACAGCAGAACCAGCTGTGGTTCATTAAAACACAAAGGCTTTTAAAATATGCCCAGAAGATGAGAAAAGGAGGGGAAAAATCAATGCCTACAGATGATCAATCAGCAAGTGTCAGAAGGTCAGATCCTTCCATTCTGGTTCCTTTCTTTGAAATACCCCCACAGGCTCCCTAATTACTGCTCAAGGGTCTCCTTCCTCTTTGTCTATCCCTTTCCCTGGGAAAATACTTTTCTCCCAGAGGTTTCCCCAGGCCCAGCCACTGTGGCCGGTCTGTGTCCCAGACTGGCAGCACTTCAAGTCTTTTAAAGTGGATGGTCTTGGTGGACTCTCTGGCTATTGGCTAATAGATAAAAACAGACATCAATTACTGAGCACTTGCTATGTTGTCAAAACAATATGCTACATACTTTAGAATGTTAACTGGCATACATGCCACATCATAACCCAATTTAAAGATATAGAAACGGAGGCTCAAGATAAATTACCCAAGATTATAGCACTTGGTATATCTGGCTCAAGAAACCATGATCTGTGCTACTGAGTCCACCTCCAGCAAAGCACCCTGTGAAAGCACATCTAGGGATGGATCTTCAGTTCTGGAATGACACCCCAGGAATCCCAGAACCACAAATCTTAACTATGAGCCACCAGAAAAAAAACAAGTGGTTTGGTGCCCAGTGCTCCAGAAGGATGCCCTACCCGCTGTCCTTCCTGGGCCAGGGCCAATGCTACCGCCATGATCCTGGCAGGCAGGATGCCCTGGGCTCAGCCCCACCAGAGGTGTGGACTAGAACTAGTCCAGCTGCCCCTGTGCCTGTAATGTTTCATTCTGCAGGCATGGTTAAAAATCCAGCTCTGAATTGAAGCCCAGTTCTGCAAATGGCTAATTAACTCTGATGGAAACCTCAATTTTCTAAATCTGCAAAATAGTATCCGCCTCACAGCTGTTGTAAAGATTCAGTAAGGAAATGAAGATAAAGGGTGCCCAGCACACACTGCCTACCTCCCCCAAAAAACCCACTTGATATGATCCATTAGCAACAGCCAAGTAATGGTTAGCCTGGTTAGTCTGTTGGAAGTCTTAGGTTGTCCCATCTGAACAATGGACTCCAGGCCTCAGTTTCCCCAAGCTCAGCGAGGACTCCTGCTCCTGCCTTGAAACATTCAAAGACAGTCTCACACCACAGAACTGACCCTACTCAAAACCACCACTACCCTGAAACACCTGGAGGATCAGACTCTCCACAGAACAGGATTTACTTATGACTGGTCTCCAATCAAAGTGAGTATCTGCTGTACCTGATGAGCACTTTAAATTATTAGTCACATCCTGTCCCTAACCTGAGACTGACTTTTAGCCAGTTCTAGACTCTTTTCCCTTTCTACTTAGTCCAGCTCTATAGGTTTGCTAAAGACAAGATCTCTAGCTTTCTATGCAATTACACTGCTTTCCCAGGTGGTTCTCCTCCTCTCTCACTGACACGTCTGCAGAGAGCCTGAGCACAATCCAGGCACCAGAATTTTCAAAAATAACAGCATCATTTTTAATGAGTATAACTTTACATTTGTTAGTACATTATAGTAGCTACATATAAACATAGCTCTGTGAAGTAATCAGCCTCAATTACAGTAAACTAAATGGAGGAACACTGAAGTCAAGGAGCTAGAGAGAAAACAGGTCAGTAATTAAGAGAATGAGCTCAGACAAACCTGAATTTGAATCATGGTGATGACACCAACTAACTGTACCTATCAACAGCTCATCCTGCTTTATCTCAAAGGGCTATTAAGCAGGAGGAATGAGATAATTCATGTAAAATGCTCTGCT